CTTTTGATATTTTATTCCTCTGTTGATTTTGTGGAATCTTTTTATTTTTATTTTTATTTTTTTGTCTTTTTCATTTTTTTTTTTTTTTTGTCTTTTTCGTTTTTATCGGTACCAGGGATCGAACTCACGACTGCCTGCTTGCAAGGCAGGTGCTTATGCCGCTGAGCTAAATCCCCAGCCCCTGTCTTTTTCATTTTTATCGGTACCGGGGATTGAACTCACGACTGCCTGCTTGCAAGGCAGGTGCTTATGCTGCTGAGCTAAATCCCCAGCTCCGATTTTGTGGAATCTTAACTATTATATGCATTGGTGCAGATTTTTTTTTTATCATGGCTAAATGGAGTTCTGTATGTCTTACTTAGCTGTGTGTCAAATTCTTTTTACTTACTTGGGAAGTTTTCTGCCATTATTTATGTGAACGTGTGTTTTATGTAATTTGCGTTATTTCCTCCTTTTTCATTGGTTCCCATCAATCTTATGTTCTTTTTTTTTTTTTTGTCTTTTTCATTTTTATCGGTACCAGGGATCGAACTCAGGACCGCCTGCTTGCAAGGCAGGCGCTTATGCCGCTGAGCTAAATCCCCAGCTCCCAATCTTATGTTCTTAATCTCTGCATCATCTAGCAGCTGCTTGATTGACTTTTTCATGGTTCCTTGCTGCTTTCTTTTTTTTTGTCTTTTTGAGGTGGAGTTTTACTGTGTAGTTCAGGCTGGCCTTGAACTCACAGAAAACCTGTCTCAGCTTCCCAAGCACTGGGATTATAGGCATGTGCCACCACATCCAGCCTGGTATTTTTTTTTAAGGTATTTTTTTGGTCTTTTTTTTTCTCTTTGGTACCAAGACTCAAACTCAAGTCCTCATGCTTGGCAGGCGGACACTGTGCTGCCGAGCTATATCCCTTGCCCTCCCTTGCTGTTTTTTTTTTTTTTTTTTTTGGCGGTACCGGGGATCGAACTCACGACCTCACACTTGCCAGGCAGGTACTTACGCCGCTGAGCTAAATCCCCGGCCCTTCCCTTGCTGTTTTTAAGAAATCTGTCTATCAGTGATCACCAGATGCAGTTCTGTCTTGTATAGCTGATATTCTGTCTTCACATGGGCTCATTCTGCTGCTTGAACTGTCAGTGGAATTTTAAATTTCCTGGTTGGCTGTTTGAATCTCTTTAATGGATTCCATTTCTTTGCTGTATTGGCTGTTTATGGTTTCCATCATTTTCCTAAGCACCTCTGTTATTTTAATCTGTATCTGCTTTGGAGTCACAAACCATGCTTTTCATTATGTTCAACATCTCTGTAGTTGTCTGAGAAATTATTTCTTGTTTGGGCATGCCTGTAATCCCAGAAATTGGGAAACTGAGACAGGATTATTGCAAGTTTGAGAGCAGCCTGGGCTACAAAGTGAGTTTAAGGCCAGCTTGAACTGCATAGTGAGACCCTGTGTCAAAAAGACAACAACAGCAAAAATTACTTCTTGATTTTTTTTCTAGAGCCTCCTTTGTCCTCTTTTGTTCCTTCTGCTGTTACCATTCGGAGCATGGCTTTGAAACTGCACCACCTCACTGCCCCCTGGGTTTGCCTTTGGTGAGCCAGAAGTCTGGGGTTGCATCCTGCTTAAGTGTCTTCTCATTTTCTAATAATTAGTAGTAGTTTTATTGCTAGTATTTAGAACCCTTAGGAAATGACTACTTCTCAAACGTCCAGGTGTAGCTGGCTTTTGAATTTTAAGTCTGTTACAAAACCCTGCTTCTTCAGTTTATTTGGGTTGAGAAGTTGCTGCCTACTGCCACAGGCCCTGGTTCTTTGACACTGGCCTTTACTATTTTTTATGATCCTTAGGCAATCTCAGTTTTGGCATAAGGAAGAGCAACTGATTGGAGCAATTATGTCACCTTGGCTAAAGTGGTATAATCAGCAATAATAATAATAGCATGAAAGGTGCCTTAGAAAATCGCAAACTGTGGTAACTATTAACTTGCTACCTTTACCTATATGGAGCTAATTTGGGGTTATAGAACAAAATAAAAAGTGAACCAGAAAATTGTATGTAGGATTTATGCCTTTAATATGCATATTTTATTCTCAGAGGCGACAATGTTGTAGTGACTAAGGGGAAAAAGATAGAAGAAGAGGAAACAGAAGGAAGCCTGGATGACAAAGATTATGCAAACTTAGGGAAACTGGTGAAAAATACAGGAGGGAAAGAGAGAAAGATGAAATAAAAACATGATCAGAACAGAAAACAACAACAAACTCATAAAAACAAGAACAGTTAACATAAAAGAGAACAAAAACAGGAAAAGAGAGAAAAATGTCTGCTTCAATGTGTGTCTGTGCTGTGACCAGTAGACAGAGTGACAGAGCCAGAGCTGTGCTATTAACCCCAGCAAGCCAGCCGTAGCGTTATGGCCAGGCCGTGGGTAATCCCGGCAGGCCTGCACCTTTAGCCCCACTGGAGTTCAGTGGGTCTCTGGCTGTGAGGCTGGAGCCGGATTTGTTCAGCCTGCAGCACTCCGTGTACCTCCTGCTGGCTGGAGCTCGGCCGATTGTCCTGCTGCAGACTTGAGCTCAGTTCCACCTCACCCTGACTCTGGGAGCTGCTAGGTGGAGCCTGCAGCTGCTCTGATTCTGTGCTCAGTTGGCCCCTCTCCAGGATGGCTCCTGGCCAGTCATCCTCTCCTGGGGAAATCTGAACAGCTCACCAGCCGCTGCATTGTGCTGTGCTCATTGCTCTGTTCCACTGGTGGGTTCATCTGTGGAGGCCTCTGGGGTCTCCAGTAGTCACCATGCCTCTGCAGGTTCGAGCCACCTCTCCTGTGCAGTGAGTGAGTCAGGGCTCAGGGAGAAAGCACTGCCTGCCTCCTCCCCCGTCTGTGTTGAGGTCTCTCTTCGCTCTCCCCATGGGCTTCAGTTCTCAACTCAGATCCTTTGGGTCCTAGGGACCACTTCCATCCTTTTCTGCTCCTCGCATTGCTGTACGCCACCATCTGGACACCAGACTGCAGAGTGGCTGTTTCTCTGCTGTTCCTCACCTTTTCATGGTGTGCGAGAGAGAAGCCAAGGTGATGTGAATTGGATCCCGCACTATTACTTGAGTGACCGTTATGCCTGGCGTCTGCACTGCCTGACGAGTGTGCCGTCGGGAGTCTGTGTGTCAGGTGGTCATGCTCAGCAGAGGCTGGGGCGAAGAAGAACCAGTGCGGGGTGGGCAGGAGCCGTCCCAGGCCTGGTGACCGCCTTCCCTTCTCGCGGAGGTGAGCGGATGTTTGTCAGAGAAGCATGGCCATGTGGTGTCCATGCTAGAGACCAGGATGAGGCCTGCCAGCTCTGATGCGCCTCTGTTCTTCCAGCTTGGACCTGTGGACACCGTGGCCTGGATCCTCTTGTCTCTGCATCATGGGCTTCTGTTCCCGGGCTGTCACTAGCTCTCTGTTCCCCATTTCTGAGATTGTTTAGTACTGACTGAACCGAGGCTTCCCAGGAGGACAGTGGAGGGCCTGCTCCTCCGGCTCTGTAGATGTGACTTTTGTCAGAGTGGCTCTGGTAACTGTGCTGTGTGTGGCCCTGTGGGTGTCCTATCCCGGCTTCCTGCCCTGGGCCAGGGCACTTTGAGCAATGTGACAGCTGAGTAGGTCCCCAGCTGGCCCTGTTGCAGCAGCCTGGTCATGGTGGGGGTGGCTATGGCCAGGCTTGTGGTGTAGGTGACTGACAGCTGCTGTGTCCTGCCTGGTGCACCCTGAGAGGACACAGGATGATCCCGAGCTAGGCTGAGGTCATGTGTCTGCCTTTCACACCCTTCTGCCCCATGGCAGCTGTTCCCTCCCCAGACCCTCGCCTACACACCCCCCAAGCGAAGTGAGCATTTGGTCACAGTGCTCGCGCTGCAGCAAGGACATCTTCCGGCCACTTCCAGCTCGCTACTGTCAGTGCAGGAACTCATCCAGGCTGGAGCCTCCCGAAGACAGCATCTCTGGTGGCTGAATAAGCTCTTGAATTTCAGAGGAAAGGAATACAGACCAATCTGGAGTAATGCACTGGAGTAAAGTATCTAGACTGTGCTCTGGACTCCCCGACTAATTGCTGAACACTCTGCATATTAAAGGAATAGAACCCTGCTGCCGGCTGGGCTGGTGCACTCAGGAGGCTGAGGCAGGAGGATCACTGAGTTTGAGGCCAGCCTGGGCCACAGCATGAGACCCTGGCTCAGAGCAAAACAAACACCCCCAGAATCCTGAATCCTGATTGCTGGAGGAAAAATGTCTTCCCCAAGTATCCCAGTGGTTGTATGGGTCTCCTTGGGGCTGGGCAGCTGTGTTGTGCGAGTGGCTTGGGGAAGAGCACGGTGTCTTCAGGGCGCCCGTCCCTGGGGAAACGGAGTGTTAGAAAGCTTAGGAGCTGGCCTGCTGCTGGGACCCGGAGATGCTTAGCTCAGACCAGGTGGGCTTCGATAGGTGCTTGAGTCTTGAAACCGATCAACGTGTTCTAATTAGTAAGCTTAGTCCTTTACCTTGCTGCTAAGTTTAATCAGGTATTTTAGTGTCTCTGTGTGTATCAATACGTGAAATAAACTCCAAAGATAATTTCACAATACAAGGTGGGGAAAATTTTAAGGTATGTCATAGTCGCTAAGAACCTTGATTTTAGCTGTTTGTGGTGATACACATCTGTCATCTCAGTACTCGAGGAGGCTGAGCCAGGAGCATTTCAGGTTCAAGCTGAGCCTAGGCAGACTAGTGACTTAGTGAGATACAGAAAAAGCCTGGGAATGTAGCTCAGTACAAGGGCCCTGGGTTCAATCCTCAGTGCCGCAAGTAAAACCTTGGTTTTTATAAGATAATGTGGAGATAGCGATTCACCTCAGTTTCCGTGGGAAAAATGAAGCCTAATCAACCAGTCTAGAGCCCATGAGTTTTACAGTTCTGGCGCTGGGTGTGGGTGTGACCAGGAAGCCTGGTTTCCAGGGTGACGCTTTGTCAACAAGCTCTGTTTCCTCTGCGCCCCAGTGTTGAGCAAGTGAACAACCTGCGGGAGATCCAAGCCCTGAGGCGCCTGAACCCACACCCCAACATCCTCACGCTGCACGAGGTGGTCTTGTGAGTATTCTGTGGCATGTGGGCTGTGTGTGTGAGGGTCTGGTGGTGATGGGTAGCCCTATTTTGAGGAAAAACGTGGTAGACATTTTAAACAATTGTTTTAGCTCAGAGAACAACTCTCATTTTATTTTATTTCCTTTATGTTAGTTTTTTAAGACAGAGTCTCCCTATGTAGTCCAGTCTGGCTTTGAATTCACCACACAGCCCCGGCTGGCCTTTGAAGCCAGTGATCCTCCTGCCTCGGCCTCCTGGCTGCTGGGTTTACCACTGTGTACCACTGCACTGGGTTTCGTGTTCTCCCCTGTCCCGTCTGTGTCTGGACAGACGTGTGCTTGTGTCCCTGTGGAAATGCCTTCCTGAAGCTGACCCGTGTCCTTGAGGCAGACGTCATCAGGCTTAGGCTCCTGTAGCACATCTGGGCCGCTGTGGCCTCCAGTGTGAATCACAGGCTTGCAGAGAGCAGGCCTGGGCCGTGTGCCCACCCTGCTTGGCCAGCGGTCTCCTGTGCCTGCCTCACTGGACAGCACTTTAGGGCATTCCCCGCCCTGGTGGGACTGTAGAATAGGTTTGCACACCTCTCAAGAAAGGCCAGCACTCTGGGAGGCTGAGGCAGGAGGATCACAAGTTGGAGCCCAACCTGAGAAGCCTAATGAGAGCTTGTCTCTACACACAGAAGTTTTCCTGAGGGGCTGGGATGCAAATGAGTGCAAAGTCACTGTGTTCATTCTCCACTGCAAAAAAAGAGGAGGAGGAGGAGGAGAGGCCTGGCCTGGGGGGGGTCGGGTCCTCCCTGCAGCTCCGCCCTGCGCTCCCCACCTCCTGGGCCTGGAGCTGCTACCTGCTGCGGCCTCTGTGTGGCTGGGGCCGCAGGGCGTGGCTAAGGAAAACGGGCCGAGCAGCGGCAGACCTTGGCTTAGAGTGAGTTTCCTGTAGTGTTTGGCTTAGTCGGCTCAGGACTCCTTTTGTCTCTCTCCTAGTAGTTAATTTTGTATTTTCTTTCTTTAAAATTTTGAATCAGTAATTTATTCTGTATAGTGTCATACCTTATCTAATTTTCTATTTTCAAACATCTCTTCTTTTTTTTGCCTTTTCAAGACTATGCAGTTCGGGCTGGCCTTAAACTCTCAGTGATCCTCCTACCTCAGCCTCCTGAGTGCTGGGATTACAGGAGTGTGCACCGCACTCAGCTGCTCAAACTTCTCTCTCTCTCTTTTCTTTTGGTACGGGGATCAAATTCACGACCTCATGCTTGCAAGGCAGGTGCTGATGCTGCTGAGCTAAATCCCCAGCCCAAACATCTGTTTTTACATGCCCAGCCCCTGGGAGACTGAAGCAGAAAACTTGCTACAGGTTCAAGGCCAGCCTGGATTATGTAGCGAGATACTGTCTCAAAGAAAGAAGCAAATCAAAATAAAAAGGCTTTTAGAATATTGCTTAATGTAGGGCTTTCTAGCATTTTAATTTTAGCTGAAATATTGATTGAAAATAAAAGCCTCTGTTGTTTTGTAATTGTCCCCTCTTTGTGTCGGAGTGGTGTACATTTACTGGAAATGTTTACAAATGAATTAAATATTTGATTATATTCTATACTTAAAGTGAGGAAAAACGTTTTAAAAGTTTGCCTTTTCTTCTTCAGTGACAGAAAGTCTGGTTCTCTTGCATTAATATGTGAACTTATGGACATGAATATTTACGAGCTCATACGAGGTAGGTGGAGCCCTGGAAGCCTGTCTGGCTCCTCTTAGAGGCTTGGAGTTCCCAGGGCTTCGTCGTACTTCGCAGGACCCTGTGTCACCATAGTGTGGAAGCAGCGTGTAAATAGAGGTGCAAATCCAGGTCGGGGCGCATGCCTGTAATCCCAGCACTTGGGAGACTGAGGCAGGAGGATCTTCCAGGCTCACAGCTGACCTTGAGACTCGGTCCATTGCGTTGTTTAGGAAGTGAGGAGGAGAGAGTGGGAGCGCGATGAGTGTAGACACATATGCGGAAAGACTGCAAGCTGCTGTTGACAGAAGTCACAGATGCGGACCGGCGTGCTGGGCCCGGATTTACATTCCTAGTCCTATGAGCAGTGAGCTTGCTGCAAGTTGCTGCCTTAAATTGGTCGGAGCACTGTGGGTCTCTGTTGAAAACAGGAGCTGCTCTTGTGGCTGGGGTGGGCCGTGTTTCTTACAAATGACAAAGCCTGTGCCCACCGGCCCTCTGCTGGCAGCACCCGGATCCCCCCAGACCACTAGCTGAGGAGGGAGTGGGCCCAGAACTGCAGGCCCAGCCAAAAGGTGCCCTGAGGCCAGAAAGCTCAGGAAGAGAATGCGTTGCCCGTGATGTCCTATTCAGGCTGAGACCGGAGGCCTGCAGTTGGAGGCCAGCCAGGATGAAGCACTTCAGCAGCTTTTAAAAGCCCTCTTTAGGTGGTTACAGTAGCAAAGGCTTTGACAGTCTTCAAGACCTGCCGTTGACAGGCGAGGTGGCTGGGATTCGGGTATGTGGGCATGGCTAGGGGCCAGGGGATGCAGGTCCCCAGGGCTCCGGGAGCAGCAGAGAAAGCCACCTGGATTGTGGGAGCATCCAGTGGACAGGGACACCCGGGTACGGCAGTTGTGCCTCCCCCCCGACTCCCACCCCGAGCTCGCAAGGGCGAGGACGCAGCCGCCGGGAGTCTGTGTGCACCAGAAGTTCCCCTGATGCCAGGCTTCCTCCGACTCAGAGAGCCTGGCCTGGTCTCCGTTCTAGTTCTGGGAAACCCATGAGAAATTACGTGAAGCAAGCAAAAGTGGTAAGAAAGTTAGCTGTGCTCTGCTGTCTTACACTCTAAATTTTTCTTACCCTCTTTTTTCTGTCTTTGTTGAGACTGGATCTTGCTATATAGCCCTGCCTGGCCTCAAACGTGCAGTGATCCTCCTGCCTCAGCCTCCCTAGTGCTGGGATTCACAAGTGTGCACCACCACACCTGGCTGAATTACTTTCTTCTGTCTGCATATTATACACATAGTTATGCAGAGAAAAAGAATATATTTATTTGCCAAGAGACGTTACAGGCTTAGACCTGTGTGATCAGGGGAGAATGGAGTGGGCTTCTGACCTGTTAAGTGGTCCTGGTCATTTTGCAGTTTGAAATCTGTGAACTTAGTGCATGGTAGGGTGGCACACCTGTAATCCCAGCAGGCTGGGAACCTGAGGCAGAGAATCAGCTCAAGTTTGAGGTCAGCCTTGGCTATGTAGTGGTTCAAGGCCAGCCTGGACTATGTAGAGGGACCCTGTCTCAAAAAACAAAACAAAATAAAAAATAAGAAAATTACAAAGGGTTGGGGATACAGCTGAGTGTGAGGCCCCGGGTCCAATCCCCAGTACCGCGACAAACGAAGTGAAACTAGGAAGGCTCAGCGCTGGACTGACTTGGGAAGTACATCTCTCTGCCGCGCGACAGCCTAGAGCCCAGAACCTAGCAGGATGCTGCAGGCGGGAGGGCGAGGGCTGCGCTGGCTCAGCATGGCACTGTCAAAGGGCAGTGCTAGGGGCTCTGAGCTTAATGATCATCTGCCGTGAAAAGAGGTGGTACAGCTGGGTGTTTGTAATCCCATCGCCCAGGAGGCTGAGGCAGGAGGATCCATGAGTTCGAGGCCAGCCTGGGCTACCCTGTCTGAAAATATGAAGGAAAGAAAAAGAAATAAAGAAGAAAAAAGAGAACTGTGGAACCCAAAGCAAGCAGAGGGACTTGTGTTAACTGTAACCCCATCCTCAGAAAGCGGAGCTCTTCAAAGCAGGCCACTGTGCCGCATGCCTGTAGCAGCCCAGTTACTCAGGAGGCTGAGGCAGGCGGATCACTTCAGCCTTGGAACATAGCAAGACCTCATCTCAAAACCAGTAAAGTGAAGAGCTCACGCAGACACCTGGGGAGGTGCGGTTTGTGGGAGGTGCAGGAGGCATTGTCCCTGTGTGACTGTCCACGCTCCGCTATGCAGGGCTCCAGCAGCAAGTGCTGTGGGCACTCCGCGCTCCTGGGACTGTTCCAGGCGGGTTTTACAGGCACTTAGAGTATTGTTAAATCGGAAGGGATGTATTTTTAGTTTCAGCCTCAGTGACCAGGTCTCTGTCCCCTGATCACACAGGGAGAAGGCGCCCGCTGTCCGAGAGGAAGATCATGCTCTACATGTACCAGTTGTGCAAGTCACTGGACCACATGCACAGGTGTGGGCCAGAGCCGGGGGTGGGGAGGGGGAGCAGGGAGCCACTGTCCACCCAGCGCAGGCAGCGATGCGTTTTCTCCCCACTGCAGGAACGGGATGTTCCACAGAGACGTGAAGCCCGAGAACATTCTCATAAAGGTGGGGGTGCACAGGGGTCTCGGGAGCGGGGAAATGTGGGCATGAAATCTTTGTGCCAGGGTGAGGTTTCAGTCACCGACAGGGGGAAGGTATCCTGTAGGTGTTTTCCCTCTGGGTTTAGCAAGTCCATTTGATAAATGTGGTCAGCATGACGCCATGAGGAACACCCTGTCCCTGCCACACTGTGGATGGTGCATTGGCCCTTCCAGGTTAGAACTTACGTGCCAGGTGCCATGCTCGAGGCAGGATGGGGCCAGCGCCACGCTTGGCACCCACCTGTGCTACCACGTGTAGTGTGTGCCCTGCACTGTGTCCCTGCGCCTGTCTGAGGCTGTGTGGCGTCGAGAGCCGTGGAGCCTGGCAGCGCTCTGGGGGAGCTGTGTCCAGGGCCACGCACGAGGATGGGCCCTCAGTTGCAACCAGGGTGCAGATGTGTCCCTTCCGCGGCGGGACCTTTAGCACCTGCGCAGCCAGCCGCGTGTCACTGGTGCTCCTTCAGTACTTGGGCTGCCTGGTCACGAGACATCCTCGCCCTGCTCTTTTGCAGCAAGATGTCCTGAAGCTCGGGGACTTCGGGTCGTGCCGAAGTGTCTACTCCAGGCAGCCGTACACGGAGTACATCTCCACCCGCTGGTACCGGGCCCCCGAGTGCCTGCTCACTGATGGCTTCTACACCTCCAAGATGGACATGTGGAGCGCAGGCTGTGTCTTCTATGAGATCGCCAGGTATGGGCCAGGCCATGCTCGGCCCCTGAGTGAGGCCACCCCCCACCCAGACTGGGCACTATGGATCCTTTTGGGTTTTAATCCAACAGATTAATGTTGCCGTAAGTTTTCCTTGCTTGCTTTGCCCATGGAGCTGGCACCAGTGGGCCTCGGTGATATGCGGGATCCTCTCGGTTGGGCTTGATCTTGAGAGGGACAGACGGACAGACAGGTTCCAGACAGAGAGGCAGCATCTGACCACTCCATGGGGCCTGCTGAGCCCTTGAGAGGTGCCACCCGCCAGTTGAGGACAGGGCACCTTGGGCAGGAGAACTGGACCAGATCTCCAAAATCCATGATGTCATTGGCACACCTGCTCCAAAGACCCTTACCAAGTTCAAACAGTGTATCCCTCCAGATGTCCCTGAGAGTTATGACCTTGTGGGACCAAGCAAGGACCTAGGGCTGCCCAGTCCTGCTGCCCAGCTGCCCGCTACGCAGAGGTGGCTGATGGGTGTTCAGGACCCACAGCTTTTGATACTAATTTGTCACTTTGCAAAGCAAAGCAACTTCACTGAAGCTGGGGACCAGCAGAAGGTTCTTTTTCCTGTGCTAAAGCCCTGTGTGACCTGGAAGGGTGCTGAGGACTTTTCGCCAGGACCTCAGTCACCCTCTCTCTCTGTCCCTGCAGGAAGCTGGCATCGGCGAGCCAGGCCCTCTACCAGAGCATTCTCAGCCCACCCCGCTTGGTGGTACCCGGTCTCAAACCTCTTAAAGTCTGTCCTTGAGACAGTGCCTGCACTTGGTCAAACAGCTCTGTGGGGCCAGTGGTGGCTGTGCCTGTTACCTGGTGTGGCCACTGTCATGTATCCCTGCAGAGACAGAGGGCACTTGGGTGGGGACAGCGGTAGCAGCGGCCCAGGCCTGGGTGGCTGCAGGGGAAGGAGCCAGCCAGGAGAAGCCCAGGACCCATGCTAGCGCCTGCCCCTGTCGCCTCCAGCCTGCAGCCCCTCTTCCCTGGGGTAAACGAACTGGACCAGATCTCCAAAATCCACGATGTCATTGGCACACCTGCTCCGAAGACCCTTACCAAGTTCAAACAGTAAGCATAGGGCCCCGGGATCCTGCAGGAGACCTGGCACAGGGCAAGCTGCCCTGCAGCACACTGGGCCACTCACTGGGAGGATGCTGCCTAGCCCCAAGCCTGCCTGTGTGGCTGGGCCCACCCAGCGCCTTTCTGGTTCATTGTGAGGCAGGGGCTCACTGAGTAGCTAAGTTGCCTGGACTTATGTCCTCCTGCCTCAGCCTCCAGAGTGCCAAGGCTGCACTGCTGTGCCTGCTGAGGCTTGTGTCTCTGAGGTTAGAGGGGCGCTCTCCCCTGAGCACTGCAGAAAGGCCTTGTTGGATCTTGGGGGCCCAAGAGTGGGGTTCTGTCCCCAGAATTTCACACAGGACTTGAGGTGCTCGGCAGGCACAGGAGGACGGGGCTGCGCCCACGGGTCACGCCTGTCCTCAGCAGACCCCGGGTTGGTTCCGCTCAGAGATGAGGGGTTCTGCAGGCTGAGGGGACACCTCCCCCCCCCCCCGCTGCAGTCCCAGGACCCCACAAGGGTGCAGATCTTGACTTTCTTGACTTTGGGGGTTTTTGGTCATTTTTCCTTTTTTATAGCTTTGTTCTTAGATGAGAAGGTATTAGGAATCTTTTCTAGGAAAGGTAGTTCCCTTACATTTATAACATGAAGACTCCACATACACCCTCCTCATTTTAAAATTTTATTTATTTATTTATTTATTGTCTTTTTCTTTTTTTTATCGGTACCGGGGATTAAACTCACGACTGCCTGCTTGCAAGGCAGGCGCTTATGCCGCTGAGCTAAATCCCCAGCCCCCTAAATTTTATTTTGAGACAGGGTCTCTCCAAGGTGCTGGGTTTGCCTAGAGTGGGCGTGAGCTTCGTGTGCTCCCGCCTCAGCCTCCCGAGTAGCTGGGATGGAAGGCGGGCTCTACCATGCCTAGCTTCCTGTGGCCCTGTTAGGAGGCTGGCTTCAGACCGGTCTCAGGCGCCCAGCACAAGTGGGCCATGGGTGTGTGGGCATCCGGCCTCCCCCTGCAGCCCCTGCCCTGACATGCGCCTGCGGCTTGCTCTTGGCATCAGGCTCATGCAGGCAGGCCTGTCTCCAGGCACAGGTCCCTGGGGGCGGGACTGTGACAGTGACCAGCTCCGGATGACAGTGTGATCGTTTACTGTTGGGCTTTCAATGCAGGTCAAGAGCTATGAGTTTTGATTTTCCTTTTAAAAAGGGATCAGGAATTCCTCTACTGACAGCCAATTTATCCCCGAAGTGTCTCTCCCTCCTGCATGCGATGGTGGCCTATGACCCGGACGAGCGCATCGCTGCCCACCAGGCCCTGCAGCACCCCTACTTTCAGGAGCAGAGGTGGGGTCCCCATGTGCTCCCATGTGGACAGGAGGGGCCACAGGCTGGGCTCTGTCCCCGAAACAGTGGTGCACCCTTCCGGGATGGGTGAGCGGGGCAGGGTGACCAAGGGGTGGGGGCAATGCCAGGGTTGCAGTGGATGCAGCTCCTGAGGGGCCTGGAGTGCATCTTGTGGGCACGGTGTGAGCTCCTGCTGTCCCTGGTGCCAACCACGGGTGTCAGAAGCCTGTGCCTGAGGCCCTGATTCTGCCCTCTGCCCCCGCATGGGCGACTCAGCATGGTGGCTGGACCTGGAGGTGCTGTGGGCCAAATGGCCTCCACCCAGGTCCTGCTGGCTCATGAGAAGGACGTGTGGTGGCTGCTTGGCCAGCAGCTGGTCCCCTTCAGTGGCATGAGGGGTCCGCAGCGGGGCAGCCACCGTGTTGTCTTCCACAGGGCATCCGAGAAGCAGGCCTGGGGTAGCCGCAGCCACACAACCTTCTCAGGGCACATGGAGCCACTGGGTCACAAGTGGCAGATCCCGGAGGGCAACAAGCAGGTAGCACTGAGATGAGTGAGTGGAGACACTGCTGGGGAGGTTGGTGGCACAGCAGACTGTCACCCTGTCCTATGAGGCCCGAGCACGGTACCCCTTAGAACACTGGGATCTGAGCTGCGGATCCATGGCCAGCACCTGTGTGGGTAGCCCAGGGAGGCTAGGGGCCAGGGGATGCAGGCCCCCAGGGCTCCGGGAGCCCAGGGAGGAGCCTGCCACAATCCCTGTGCCTGGCAGCCACATGCAAGCACCCGCCCTGTGTCCTGGCATGGCTCCAGCAGGGGCCCACGAGTCCTCGCCAGCCCGAGCTCCCTGCCTGGTGCATCCCTGTGCCCTCCCCACACCTCCAGCCACAAGACCTCCACTTGGCAGTGGTCTCCTGTGCTCTGCTCCCACTGCTCTGTCTCCATCCCTGAGGGACATATGTCCTCACCCACCTTGTAGCACCTGTGCCAGCCCTGGCTTGGAGGAGCACCCTGGGCGGCTGTGGGTGTCCGTGGTGCCACAGAACTCACTGCACAGCCTGAACAAAGTCGAAGCTCTCGGCCATGAGGGGTCTGGGGCAGGCAGGGCTGGGCCAGGGGCACCTCTTGGCAAGGCAGAGCCGGTGGGACCCGTGGGAAGAGCACACAGGGACTGGAGCCCGTTCTGTTTGAGGAAGGCGCCGCGGAGGCGAGAGGTCCCAGCCCGCCTGCCCAAGCTGCCGCTGCCGGCCGTGAGTGCCCTGCCTGTGCGCTCCAGCCCTGCACTCAGAGCCTTGAAGTTCGGGGGCACCTGTGATAAGGTAGGACACTGAGTACCCTCTCCGGCAGGGCAGGGCTGTGGCCACCCACACCTCTACCTGCGCCTCCTTCTGCAGGTGAACACGCAGGACACCAAGCCTGACCCGCCACTGTGTCGCCTGCCCAAGATTGACCAGAAAGGCGCAAGGTACTGAGCAGTGCAGGCCCTGCCTGCTCAGAGAGATGGCAGGCCCCGCACAGGCCGGTCCTGTGGTACCACGCTGAGCCGGGACGCTGAGGCCTGTGTGAGAGCGCTGGACACTGCCAGGCCGCTGCCCCTCAGGCTCCCGCCTGGTGCATTTGGAAGTCAGCTTTCCAGGGTCTCACTTGGTTCTCCCACATAAGGACTTGGGCCAGGGGACGTTCTGTCATTTTTTCAGTCAAATCACATAAACAGAGACACCTGTCACACAGTCCAGGCTGGTGGCTCACCATGGCGCTGGATCTGAGGGCTTTGCTATGGCATCAGTGGTAGTAGGAGAGAGACCCTGAACCCCATTAAAGAGCATCTGTGATTCTGTGCTGTGAGCCTGTCACCCCGCTTTGTCAGCAGTTGGCCTGTCGTGTCACAGAAGAACACATTCAGGATGGGACCGGGCTGTCCTAGGCCGCCCTGTCCCAAGAGCTGCAGAGGGAGGGGCTGGGGTGCCTGCGAAGCCTCAGCTTTGAGGTGACCCGGTATGTGGTGTCCCCAGGCCAGCGGGCTCCAGGCTTTGCTCTAGGAGGGTGCTGCTGGCTCCCAAAGCCTTTTATATCTTTTGGTTTTTAAAAGTATATATATATATATATATATATTTTTTTTTTTTTTTTTTTTTTGCGGTGCTGAGGGTCAAACTGGGGCCTTGCTCTGGGCCGCCCCCTACCCCCTGGCAGAGCCCCTTGTTGCCCTGAAGGCCGCCTGGAGCTGAGTTCCTTTTCACCTCCTCTTCCCCGGCTTGCAGTCCTGAACTGCCCGGCTCAGCGTCCTGTCGCCTCTGCAGATACCTCTACAACCCTTGCTTCCTTGTCGCTCCAACAGCCCCAGCCCAAGTCACCTGAAGACAGGAGAGGAAGTGGCTGTGGCTGCCCTGAATCCTGGGCTGGGCAGGTGGGGACTGGAAGAGGCTGGCCTGTCAGCCCGCACCTCGCAGAGGGGCTGGGCCTGCTCTCAAACTTACCTGGAGCCCTCGGCTGGCAGTGATGCCAGAGGCCGGCTGGGAGCCACGGCCTGCGGACTGATGGCACGTGTGCTGGACATGGCAGCTACCTGCCCAGTTCTCTGTGTCTGTGTGAGAAGCGCAAGTTGCAGGTGCCACGGCCCAGCTTGCCACCTCTCTCCTGTCCAACGGCTGTCCCCCCTCCACAGAGGTGCCAGGGGCGACCTCGGCTTCTACCACCTCTGGCACCCCCAGCACAAAACCAATCCTCCTGCCCTGCAGCACGGGCAGCACATGGCAGAGGGCAGAGGAGCAGGCCCTGAGAACCCTAAGGGCTGGGTGAGCCGGCGTGGGTAGTGAGGCCGGGCCCAGAACTGCAGCTTAAGGGGCCCTTCCTGCACATCTCCCCCCAGGTACGCAGGACCCACGCGTGGTCTTGTGTGTAACTGGTGGTTTTACCCAAGGTGACAGAAACACTGTCCTACCTAAAGTATGCTGGTACTTGTATGGTTACTCTTAGAAGTTGTTTCATATAAAGCAAGTCTTTACCCGGCATGGTGATGCATGCCTATCATCCCAGGTACTCAGTAAGCTGATGCAGGAGGATCGCTTGAACCCATGAGCTTGAGACCAGTCTGGCCAACACAGCCAGACCCTGTCTCAAAACCAGAAAACACAGCAAGTCTCAGGGTTCTGTGCCATGGTGTAAGGGCCCAGGAGGTGGCGGCAGCGGTGGCGGGTTCCAAGTGGGGTTGTCTTGGGCTTGGAGCAGGGCAGTTTAAGAACCAAGAGGACCCAGGGAGGAGCCCAACCGAGGCCTGCGCTGTGGCAACACCCTGCCGCCTTGCCCATGAAAGAGCCCGGGACCCTTCGGTCCCCGCTTAGCTCTGTTGCACAGTCATGGTGGGGACCTCTCGAGTGCTCCACATGCCTTGGGTTCACCCCACTGGTTCGCGGTCTCACCTAGCAGGGCCCAAGTCCTAAGGGTCCAGCCTTGTGACTTTTTTGGGGGACAGCACCAGGAATGGGACTCGGGGCCTTTGTGCTGAGCTACATCTTCAGCCCTTTTTTATTTTGTGGGACCAGGGCTCGCCAAGTTGCCCAGGTCGGGCTTGACCTTGTGACCCACTCACCTCTGAGACCACGCAGCATGCTAGGGACTGTCCCACACAGATGGCCATGGAGGCCAGGCTGCAGCACCCGCGCACTGCTGTCACTGTCAATGGCTAGGCTGGATCAGGACCCAAGTGCATCCACATGTACTGTGGTCTCAGCAGGAGCAATTCTAGCAATAACGATTAGGAACCTGTGACTGCAGCAGCTGCTGTGCTGGGCCCGAGCTGAGCCACACTGTCTCTGCACTGTCTCTGCACTCCGTGGGGCTCGCGCCCCAGATACCACACCCCTGTGCAAAGCCAGTGGAGAACTACACGTGACACTGAGACTTCCCGGCATGTGTGTGTGTGTCGCCCACGCGATCTGGGTTCAGGAGTAAAATGCAGGGAGGCTCCATTTCCTATTTCCACTGCTGCCTCAAGTGACCGAGTTAGAAGGGTAAGCAGCTTCTCTGGGTGAGCAGCGTCCAGCTCAGAGCCCGCCCGTCCCGTCCACACTGCCCAGCCGGCTGCCTGCTGGCTCCACACAGCTCCCGGCCCTGTTGCCTGTCGCTGTCCCTCTGCTGTCCACGTGCACTGGGGAGGTGTCTGAGCAGCAGTGGGGTCACTACACTACAGTCCCAGCAGAACTGGCCTGGTTGGGGTGTGATAATACGCCCTGCAAACAAAGCAGTCTCCGTTAATTCAGCACCCCGGGGCTGTGACGCCCGTCCCAGTGCTGCAGCAGGGCTCTCCGGTGTCATCCTGTCCACCTTCTGCTTGGGCTCCGGGGCTCCCTTCAGCCCTGCCCACCACCTCCCTGACCGATGCCTACAGCACTGCGCCCTCTCCTGGCACTTTCCAAAAAGCATTCCCCCCCAGAGCTCTTGCTTTCTTGTGTGGGAAGGGAAGCCTGATGCCGGCAGTCTCCAGTGGGCACAGAAGGGGACAGGGTCAGACTGGCAACCTGGGGACTGCAGGGGGTTTGGGAAGTTGCACCACTACCTGGGCCACTAGGACAGTGCAGGCAGCCTGGCCTCTTCTATGACCTGAGCAGGGATAGGTGACAACACACAGCCCCAGCTGTAGACTCCACTGTGTGTCCGCCACACCTCCCAGCAGACACTGCCACGCTTGCGCCTGGGACTCAGTGACACCAGTGGAGCCAACGACGCAGGGGCCTTCAGCCTTGTCCCCGCCTCGTGGGAGAGCTGAGAAGCAGCTGTCCCCTCGGTATCCATAGGCATCTTCCTGTCACCTCTCCAGGGGGACAGTGCCTGCTCCGATTCTGCACCCCCCACGGACTGGGGGGGTCAGTCACCCATGGACAGAGGCTCCTCTGCCGTGCGACCTCCTGGAGAAGATGAGGGAGGTGGCCCAGGTACTGCCAGTTCCACAGGGAAAGAGCCTTGTGTCCCCAAGAAGGGACGAGTGCTGTCCTGCAAGGATGGAGGTGGGAGTGCCTCCACAGACCCTCGGGAACCCCACACACTTCGAGGCATCTTGGAGGGAGGCAGCAAGCCTCACCAGAGCTGGATCAGCCACTGGGACAGCGACACCAGCGACATCAGCCAAGAAGTGTGTGGGCTCCGGGGCACAATCACCAACTCAGAGAACAGGAGAAGATGGCTTTAGCCCTTCACCCAGCAAGTACATCCTGGACGTGGACGCTGACGGCCTTTTCTGCATCCTGCCTTGAGGGCTGTGCAGGTGACGTCCCGAGGTCGTCTCAGTGGCACAGGTGGCTCGTGGCCGTGACAAAGACCACATGCTTCCCAACACTGAGGAGGAGCACCAGGGAGGACCACGCTAAGGACCATGTGGCCTGGGCACAGTCATGACAGCAACTCAGCGCCCTGCCCTGCAGTAAGTGTCTTCCCAAGTCCCCTTCCCTGCCTTCCCTTGGTGCTCAGGACAGGGCAGGGCCTGGAACTGCCACCAGCCAGCAAGTGCTCTGCCCTAAGCTGCACCCTCAGTGTCACCCTGTGACAGGGGCCTCACTCTGCCTGAGGTGGCCAGGAGTGGCAGAGACACTGCTACCCTGCTTCACTGTGCAGACATTGCTGGGGGTGACCTGCTCTTAATACCAGTGGCCTCGGCCCGTGTCACTGCCCACCTGTGCCCCAGCCTTGGGATGGCTGGCCATTAAGGCTTTGGGAACACCAAGCAGGCAGGTTTCCCAGTGGACGCTTGCCTGTCTCGGGGACAGGAACAGCCCTTAACTCTGATTGGCAGTGGCTGGCTGAGCCGTAGGGACCGTGCTCCAGCCAAGAGACCCAGTGCGTCTGCTCCTGGGGCCTTGGAAACTCAGTGTTCGAGTATAAAGACAGTGTGCAAAGCAGGACCGTGTCCACCTTCCCATCCTGGGGACACTGGTAGGACAGGAGACTGTGGCAGCGAGCTGGGCCTGTACCAGCCTCCTTGTCCCTAGGCCTCCCCACCTGGCCCAGCTACCTGAGTGGCTCACACATGTCTGAGGGCACAGACAGCTGTGCGGTGAGGTCTGCAAGTCTGGTGCCACCTCACTCACCTGGGGTCGTCTGGTCCGTGTCACCTTTTGTGCCGTAGACGGACTAAGCTCCTCTGATAGGAAGCGAGGGCAGGGGCAGCACATGAGTGGGTCCCCCAGGGTCACAGCACTGGAGACCTCTGTGGCCCTGTCAGGCACATGCTGAAACCAGGGTTAAGTGGTGACACTGGGCAAAGACAAATGCCACCCGGTGACTCCAGCCTTAGCACCCCGAGTCTGTGCCTTCGTGCTGGTGAGCAGCTCTGCTGGGGAAGCTTGACCCAAGGAGATGCCCTTCTGGCTGAGTCCCCAGGCCCAGGCAGCCAGGTCATCCCGGGGGTCCAGCTGCCCTGGTATCTGCAAAAGAGAAGCTGTACTCAGGAGACACCTGGGAGATACGTGCTGGCTGAGCTGCACAAGGGACAGTACCTGCCCAGGTCACCACACTGAGGCGAGGCTGCTTTAGGTGGCCTGAAGTCCTTGGGGGTGGCGCCCACCCACACTCTTGACACAGCTGCCATGCCCCAAGGTACTGCTCAAGGGATGAAGAACTAGACGGTGCCACCCAGCTGTGTTCAGTTCCCAGTCTGAGTGGCAAGGAAGAGCACATGGAAGGACACGGAGCAGCCGGTAGAGGACAGCAGGAGGGATGGCCAGGGAGCTCAGGCTGAGGGGGCCTCCAGTGCTGGCCACTCTTGCCTGCTGTCGCCATGGGGGTGGAAGCTGAGCCCGAGAGCAGGGCAGGGCCCGGGACACCCACAGTCGGCATGCTGCCGCCCTCATGCCGTGTGCCCCACCCAGTGGGAGCCCCAAACACTGACACCGTGGTCACAGGACAGAGTTCTGTGGGGTGCACCCCAGCTTCTTTTCTGGGCTCCCTGAGGAGCTGAGCTACAGAGCCACGTTTATTGGCAACACGGAGGGCACAGGACTCCAGGTGCTCACACCAGTGAGTCTCCCTGTGACAGGGGCAGGGACAGCTGTAGACAGCAGGATGACAGCGTGGTTCCTTGTGCTGGTAAAGTACAACACTGATATTTAAGCTGCATTTGTTATTCCCACACTTACAGCTTACACTGTATCAGGAAGGCGCTTTCTGAGACTGCTCAGGTTGTCAGGAAGCGAGGTGACGCAAGCAGCCAAGGGTGGTCACCACCGACTTGGGAAGTCAGCTGGCCTCACACTTCCACTTGGACAGTGATGGCAACACACATCGTGTAACAGGTGTGGAGAGGCAGGTAGCAGCCGTACACGGCTGTGCATGAGGGTCACCGGCCCTGCTCTGCACACGGAGGTAACCTCTCCCCGGACATCCCTGAATGCTGAGATGAGCACCTTGTTAACCTAGTCCAAGCACCATCCCGAGGGCCTGTGGAGTGCTCCAGGATGGCAGGCGGTCAGAGACACCTTTGTGACCCTGACCTGTCCCGGGCCAGCGTTGCCTGGCCAGCTTCTAGGCCGAGAAGGCCTACCTTGACAGCAGTGCCCGCCCCATGTTCGGTCAGCATGTTCGGTCACCCCTCGAGGCCCCCAGCCACCAGGTAGCCCTGTGTCAGGCTTCCCTCCCCACGCTAGCTCCCTCCAACCCTAAGTTCAATGAGAAGAGAGGAATTACAGGTGGTGCTGGGTCCCAGCACACTGATGCTGTCTTACTGATTTCCACACATATTTAATACTTCGAAATTTCCTTCTAGATGAAGCTGCCATGGCATCACATGTGAGCCCAGCTACTTAGCCTGAGGCAGGAGGATCCCAATTTTGAGGCTAGTCTGGGCAACTTGAGACCATCTCAAAATAAAAAAGGGGTGGTGGTAAGATCTGGGTGGATGCACCCCAGGGTGCCTGTGGGGACCTGGGTGTCCCTGACCACCACCCAGGGCACAGATACCCACTATGCAAAGCCCCAGAGCTGCTGGCCTCGCATTTCCAAGTGCCTCTGGGACGACGCTCACCAGGCTGCTTCATCTCCCCACTTTGTGGGTTCAGGCCCTAGAGCAGCTGTGCTCAGGCCCCATGGACACAGGAGCTGTCACTGTTGGTGAAGTCAACTCAGAAGCCACGCTGCTGACTGCAGTGCCTGCACATGGAAGACATCGGGCTTCCAGGCCCGAGTGGAAAGGGCAGAGAAGTTTGGGCCGCACACTTGGCCATGGCCCTGGGGGCAAGGGGCCGAGCAGCGGCAGTGGGAGGCAGTGGACAGGACGGGGAGGACTCCCGGCCAGCCTAGAATGGCTCCTCCCACTCCTGGAGGATCTCAGTGAGGCGGCTCTCTCTGGAGAGAGGACCTGCTGCCCGCAGGGTCCCAATAGCAGCCAGGGCCACCGTCCTCCCACCTGCAGAGTGCTCCCCAGCCACACTCGGGCTCTGGAGACCCTAAATCTGGCAGCGGCTGGGGTGGTGGTGGGAAGCCAGTGAGGGAGCCCCAAAACGGGCTCTGGACAGGAGGCCAGGCTGTGGCCAGGCTCCAATACAAGGGCATGCTGGGGGGTGCTGCACTGTCCCGCCCTGAAGGGCCCAGCAAGCCTTCTCCCTTTTCCTCGGGGCACAGGCAGCACTGAGGGGGGCGCAATACCATCCTCCACGCTGTCATCCTGGCCGCTGCTGAGGCCCAGGAGCACCTGCCGGGTCCCAGCAGCCACAATAGTGGAGGCCGTGCCCTCCTGCCCTGCCTGCGAGCTGAGCCGGCCGGGGCAGTGGCCCTGCCACCTCCACTCCGCTCCCCAGGACACAGGCCGGCATCTCCAGGTAGAGGACATGGGAAGAATCCCACCTCACAGGTGGCACTGTCGCTGCTGTCACCATGGACAGAGGCTACCATGCTAGGAGCAGCAGGGGCAAGGGTGCAGCTAGGCGCTGTCACATTGTGGCCTGCGGGAAGTCCCCCTACCAGTACAGTGAGCCCCGAATTCGCTCACACAGCAGCGTGGGACAGACTAGCACCCTGAGTGCTCAGAACAGCTAGCAACACGATGACTCTCAACTGAACACCAAGCAGAGACCCCAAGGTCTGTCAGCTAAGATCAGGACTAGAGAGCCATCAGGAAGGGGACTGGCTCCGTGGTGCTGGGAGAAGCCCAGGTTGGCAGGTCTGAGGCACCAGGCTGCACTGCCACTCAGGGACAAGAAAAAGAGCCCCGTGCCTGCATCCCTGAGCCGAGGCCACCAGATACCCACTGGGCAAGCGCCTGGCCATGCTGTGGTCACAAAAAGCAGCAGAACAAAGGACAGCTCCTGTCCCCTGGCTGGGAGGATGCAGCAGCTGTCCAGGCCCGGGGCTCTGGTCACGTGGGGTTTTGGGCACAGTCTCAATCAGAGTTCTACAAACTGCTTCTTTGGAAAAAGATGTTTATTAAACAATTTTAATTGTCATAAAATGACTAAAATGGGTTTTAAAAATTAAGGCTCTTCTCTTTCTGTGGATTGCCAGAACAATGTAAAAATAATATCATCAACCCTGCTCAACGCTTTGTTCCTAAAGTTAAATTTCATAGATTCCTAAACATTTTATGATTAAGATAAAAAATTGGACTATAAATGACAATTAATGGCCTTCTGTACTGAACATACACTCTGATCTGGTGTACAATATTCTAGTCGAGTAGTTAAGAAAAATATTCCAGTTAAAGCATCGATTTTAGGTTTAGCGCTTGAAGTCACTGTTCCCCACGGTCATGATTCCCTACGCTGCAGGACCGGACACAGGACGCTACCCCGGGCTCTACGGTGACTGACTCGGCTGGCAATTAGTTGGATTATATAGTTTTAAATGCTCTAAGGTGAATTACCAAATGATTCAGAATTACATGGCATGCAGTATCCAAAATTATGGCTCTGATGCATTTCGATTTACATTAAGAAGAAGTGTCATTCACAGTCATTGTACACCCGCCCTCCCGCAGAAAAACTCCCCACCTACTCAGTCCTAGGTCTGGTGCAGCGTTAAGGGTTAAAACTTACCACTTTACCAGGCCTTCCCCATGTGCAAATAAACCCCTCCTGACAAGCAGTGACTATACAGTCTTCGAGAAAAATTAACACAGTCAGCCTCTCGTGCGCTATCTTTTTACAGATCAGCGGCTCTAACAAGGGAACGTCTTCCATCCGAGGGCACAAGGCCGTGCCCAGAGTTTTGGCGGGGTCCGTTTTGGTTTTCGTCACGAGGTTCAGTTTGTCACTGCTCTTGCTGGAGATGTGCCCCATGCTATGGTTCCGCTTGTGGTCTTTCTCGTGGTGCCGGTCCTTCCGGTCGTGCAGGGAGAGGGTCGCGAACTTGCTGACCCCGGATGCCACAGCCCCATCCACGACGCTGCTCTTACTGCCGGCGTTGGACACAGCCGAGTGGGGGAGGCTGTTGGACCGGGGCAGCGGTGGGGGCGCGGCGGTGGCAGGCGGTGCCACGCTGTTCCCGTTGCTCCCAGGGGGCGGGCTTGTGGCATTCATGACGTTGGTGTGCGTCCTCGCCCTGGAGAGCGGCTGGTGGGGGAAGAGGATATCTTCTGTGAGGTCCCACAGGCACAGCTGCGTGTCCTGGCCCACCGAGCCGAAGCGGTAGGTGACGCTGACCGGGCGGCTGTCAGTAGAGTTCCGCTTGGACAGCCGTGACTGCGTGCTGTTGGCGCGGTCTCTGCCAAAGTGCAGGAGGTCCTGGAAGTCCTCGTCACTGCCGCTGAACTCCATGGGGTCGCTCTCTTCTACGCTAGTGGTGTAGGGGTCGAACGCCACGACGCTGACCCAGGACTTGTGCCCGTGGCCTCTCGCAATCACCCGGCAGTCTACGAAGGACCACACTGTCACCAAGTCATCCTCTCCACCCGTCACAATGTACTTGCCGTCTGGGCTCCAGCACACACACAGCAAGCCCCCAAAGTAGCTTTTCATCGTACCGTGCAGCTCCACGGAGTCGAAGTTGAACACCCGCAGAAACCCGTCCTGGCTCACGCACGCCAAGAACTTGCCATCTGGGGAGAAAGCAAACTCGTTGAGGGCCCCCTCGCCCACCGTCCACTTAAGGAGAGGGTTCCTCGTGGATTTGCTCTTGCAAGTGTGCACGGCAAAGCTCTCTCCCTGCTTCAGGAGCTGGTAGTGGGGGGCCGTGGTGCCACAAGTGTGCTCCACATTATACAAGTACATGTTCCCACTGGCATGGGCTACTAGGAAAAGGCTTTCCGAGCCGGGCACCCATTTGACACAGGTTACGCGTGCCTTGTCTATTAGTCTCTGTGAAGACAAAGGAGAAGAGGTTATCACAAGGGAGCAGTGCATGGCTTACCCTGTGCACGAGGGCAGTCTGCGCAATTGCACTCAGGGCCCAGCTGCCGAGGGGCCCCCCGCTCTGCACCAAGCGGCAGGTGGGGGGCGGCCCTGGGGCTTTGCAGGGAACAGCACCCAGACCTGCGAGCCCGGCAGCTCCACACGCCCCCCCCCCCATGTTGTCACTGTGGGTCCTGTCCCCACAGTCGCTGCTCAGGGTCGGCACACAGGCCTGGGGGACTCACTGAGGCATCTCTGCACAATTTCCTCCCAGCCAGAGGGGCTGATTAACCCCACTGTCGCTCTGCCTCGCTCCCGGCCCCACCCTGGCTGCTGTGCTCACAGGCAGGTGGCAGCATCTTGTTGTGAAGGCCACAGGAGCGAGGACAGGAAGTGAGCAACACCCACTCTCTGCAGGGAGGTCACCCGGCACTGCAGCCTCTGCCAGGCTGATTCCTCTCTGCGATGCCTGCGTGAGACCCCCTCAACCAGCAATTGCCCGGAGCGTCCCAAGTCTGCCTGGACGCACGGCTTCTGCCTGGCTGAGGCCACACATCTGCACGTGTGCTCCTCTCCAGAAGGGAAGGAAACTGATGGACTACAGAAGCTCAGTGCAAGTCAGGAGCGCAGAAACCAAGTGGGTGACAAACGACCCAGACGAGCAAGCATGGAGGCTAGGGGCTCGGGCTCCATGGGCCAGACAGGGGCCGTTGCTCACTGCCACAGAACAAGTCTGGGCCTCTTACAGTCATAGGCCCCACTCTTGGGGACACAGCCAACACCGTCACCCCACTTCTTCCCTTAGCTCCTGCTGACCTATCTACAAAATCACCAGCCATCTGGGAACATGGCACCGTCGGGCAGGGTTCCTGCTCGGCCTGCTCAGCCAGGAGCTGTGCCCTGTGGGAGCTCATGGCACTGGGCTGCCCTGCACGCACTCCAGGGCCACAGTCGAATCCAGGCCTGACAGCCGTGTCTCAAGCTCCCTGATCACCCACCGGCAGCTGCTGCCCTGTACTTCAGTTCCTGAGCCCTGCCACCAAAACCCAAGGCTTCTGGCAGCACTTCCCTCTTACACTGTGTATGCAGTGTGGAGAATTTTAAGGACATGAAGACTCCGAGCAGTATGGCTGGGAGTAAATTTTATTTTGGACCTTTAAAACCCCACAGGACACCACATCCCATTAGAACTACAAGCGAAGCCTATTAAGTAAAAACATGTGTTCCGCACGGTGAGATGTGGGACAGAGGTACAGTAAAGTGATTGTCACTGCCACGTCACGGTTAAGTCAAGAGCGTCCTTGGCTCAATGCAAGAGCAGCCCCCAGAGCACCCGAACTGTTTCATCATTGGCTGTCACACTCTGCTTCTGGGCAACTGCAGCCGCGAAGCCAGGCCCCTGCACCCTCTTCCAGGGTTTTGCACCGGCCTGCCCCACCTGCTCCCCTGGGCAGCTCAGGCGCTCACTGGCAAGACTAATCTGGAAGCCAGAGCCCTGACCGCTGGGCAGGAAGCAGCTGGCAACATGTCCTGAGCCCAACCTAAGTACCCGCTGAGCCCTCTGACTTTGCAGCCAACCCTACAGCGGTGTGGTGGATCTGAGCAGGTGACACACTCATCAGTCATGTGCCAGCCCGCAGGAGAGAGCCCTGATCATACGCTTCTCCTGCACCCCCCACACCGCTGGCCACCTATGCTCATCCACTGTAGTCAGCGCCCTGGGGCAGGGCTCACAGGCTTCCTTCTTCGCAGTGGGCAGGCACATTCAGCTCTGCCTCCCCACCCCAGTGTGGCGTGGTCAGGGATGCCAAACCTGACCTGCAGGTGGGAGGTACACACCTGCAAGCTCAATGCCCTAGCGGGGTATCTTTATAACTTTAACGGTGGTACCAACTGCCTCTCCGGAAAATGTTAAGCACTTCTGCTCCCACTGCAGGAGGACAGAGCCTGTCTCTCCACAGGATAATGGGGCCACTGCCTGTGACCATGTGGGAGTGCCGCAGAGAGTCCCAGAGTGGGGCCGCCCCGGAGCTTGTGCACTAACGACACAGCTCCCCCAGCATCAGGTGCATGAGAGTGCTAGGGGAGCTGTGGACCGGATGCCGGGGGGGGGGGACCCTTTCCCTGTGGGGACAGCCACTGTGTGTCTGTGGGACAGGCATGTGGAGTGTCCCAGGTTCTGCTGTTGGGACCAGGGACAGTGACCAGGAAGGGCAACAAATAAGTGGCGACTGGCAGGACCAGTCTGGGCCCCGAGCGCACCACCAGGAGGAGGAGGAAGAGTCTGTGGGCCCCGGGCAGGCTTTGCTCAGAGGCACGGGTGGGAACAGGACAGTGGTCAGCAGTCGCGGGTGCCACTGTGGCACACGGCTGTGCCGGACTGCCTTGAGGCCAAGGCACAGGACGGCAGGCAGAGCAGCGCATGCGGGCAGCACAGCTGCAGCAGAGTGACCAGAGCGCCAAGGGCAGAGATGAAGACAAAGGACAGAGGAGAGGGAGCTGCGGCAGGAGCTGAGGGCTGTGACCCCACTGCCACCCTCCAGGGCACAGTTGAGGTGGGACTGTCACTTTGCCTGCCCTGGCTCCCCTAAAGTCAATTTCCAGGGTGCCCTGGAACCCACCTCAAAACCACCTATGTAAGAACCAACAAAAACCCCCCTGAACAGCACAAGCCTACAAACCACAGCAGGACATCCCTGCAACACCTCTTCTGGCCCCAGGCTTGGATGGGGGGCTGGGGCTGCACCATCATCTCCGCAAAAGCCCTCAGCCAAAGCCTGCCCTGCTGTCTCATCCTGGAAGGTGCAGAAAAGGCTCTGTTCCCCACGAGGGGCAGAAGAGACACAGGGAACACGCCACACCACACCACACCTGCGAGGAGCAGACAGGAAGACACACCGCTCCCTGCTGACGGCCTGGCAGCACCTCGCTCTGTGTGGCACGATCTGTCCACAGACCAGGCAGGAGAGACTTCTCTGGCGAGAGGTGAGTGGACATGCATTTCACAGTGTGGACGCTAAATTGTAACAAAACCACAGCAGCTGCTGGAAAGGTCACAATGTGACCACAGGTAAAAACAGCAACTGGAGACTTCACTGGGCCCTGGTGTCAGGAGGCCAGGCCTCCGCAGGAAGCACCAGGAACGGGCATCTCACAGGCCTGAGACGAAGGAGTGACATCGTTTCTGCCAACGTTGAAGCTCTAAAGGAGCAGATGGTTGAGTACCAATTTCCTTTCTTTGATTAAAAATGCAATGAAACCCAAAGCAGCAGAGCCGGACAGTCTCACCATCTGGCGGCAGTGACCAGTACGAGACAAGCTTCCCTTAGAGCTCACAGTTCACAATGTTCAAAGCGCCCTGCAAACCCCAGGAAGAGACTGTTCTGTGACATACCCAGATCAGAGCTTCTGCCAACACCACAAGGGTGCGGGCATGGTTGTACAGAACACAGCCCTGGGAACTTGCCCACACGTCACCAGCCGGCCACCCAAGCAGCACACTTCCGGCCCTTAGTTGCTTCCTATAAAGCAGCTGCTAATGGGCCACAGCACTCTCGAGGCTGTCAGGGGTTTCCCAGGTCAGACAGATGCTACCAACCCACTCTAAGGGGGTGGCAGAAACTCGGGTTGGGGACTCATCGGGGACCTAACAAGGCCCTGAGCTGGCCTCACAAGGCCCAGGCTCACAGAGCAGATGCCGGGCTGCCTCACTAATACAAATAAGGGGGTCAGGGCTGGTGCTGCGGCTCAGCACAGAGCCGAGGTCAGTCCCCAGAACCGCAGGGGCTAAGTCCAGAAGCCGGTCTGTGCTTCTGCCTGTGGTGCGGTGCCCCTGCGGGCAGGCACTTGGGCCTGGGCCTCTGGAGTCAGGGCATAAGTGGAACTCAGAAGGGGCCACGTCACTTGCTCAGCCAGAGAGCCAGCCAGCAAGAGCCTATGTGAGAGCTGCGCTGAGCCTGGAGTTAGGGTTTTAAGCAGCCCGAGAAGAGAGATGACATGAACCCTAGCTGGGAGGGTAGCAGGCAGGCAGCTGGCCATGCTAGGGAGGCGGTGGGGCACAGAGCAGAGGCTCGCTCTGCTGCTGGAGTCCCTCTGCTGAGCCCCCAGCATCCATGTGTGGGCATGCCCAGGAGCTGGGACCAGCTGCAGGCTTCACCCAGACCCGACTTGGCTGGGGTGCACTAACCAGGGCCTGCGAGTGGGGTTCCAGCTACTGGCCTCCTCGTGTGCTGTCCTCCTCGCCACCCCCTGGGCGCCCATGGTGGCTGCCTTGGAGGGAAGCCGGCCATCCTCCTCCTCACAGCCCCAGGCTGGACGGAGTTTTCCTCTGGGGCAGGGCCCAAGCTTCTTGGACTCTGCTATCTGTTTCTCGGTGTCACTGCCTTAGGCCGAACGCAGCTGCGGGGCCTGAACCTGAATCCACACATGGCTTTCTTCTCTCCCTCACTCACCTACAGGTTATGGGTTTTAACTCTGTAATACTAACTAGCAGGGATTAGCCAGAGAAGCCAGAATGTTAGGGAAAAAGTCATCATTTTTATAAGAATGAAAAGTACCTGGATATGAGAGTGTCCACCTGTTATCCTAGCACTCGGGAGGCTGAGGCAGGAGGCCAGCCTGGGCCGAGTGAGTTTACGGCCAGCCTGAACTACACCATGAGGCCCTGCCTTGATCCCCAGTACTAAAAAACCTCCCCAAAGCAAAGGAGGGCTGGGGCTACTTCCAATCATGTGCTCCCAGGGAAAATCTAGCCGAGATGATCTGAAAGTGCACTCTGATTTAATGGAATGGCTTAATCTACTTTACCTATTTTCTTGGTCAGTCAGTGCTTGCAATTAACTGACCTGGTAAAGATAAAATAAACGTGGTGAGCGGCAACACCACTACTGAAAACATCACTCAGTTCCTGAAAGTAACTTACACCAGGGTACTTGAATGGCTTCATTTCTTCAACTTTTTGAAAAGCTCACCTCATTTTTAATTTCCATTTCTTTTAGTTCTGTGTACACATAATTCTTAAGACTGCACTACAGAGTTTAAGAAAGGCTTTGGGTTCTCATTTTTTTCTGTTTTACTAAAAACTGTTTTAAGTAGTTAGTCAAGCGGTAAACTCCCTGCGACTACAGAGAAGGAAACTTTCCCGGGCAGGGGTGGGGCTGAGACCAGAAACCCCTCGGAGCCCTGCAGTGGCTGCCTGAACCCAGGTGCTCATTTCGCCACAGCTGGTAACGCCAATGCTTTCCCAACCAGCTGCACCCCAACCCCACCACTACTTTCTCAGGGGAAACAACTGCTTCTGGGAAAAGGGTTGCCTGCCTCAGCCTACACTGAGTTAAGTCCCCCTCTTGTGCAGCCAGACTTCAGGCTCTATCTCTGGGGCCGGAGGCACGCCAGGACCAGGTCAAAGGTGACAGTCCTAGATCTTGCACTGGGGCACTGTCCACCAGGAGCATGGTGTCCTCTGGCTGTGGGAGCTCAAGCCTGACCCTTATGAGTGTCCACAGGCACACAGGGCCTCACTGCCTGGCACTCACAGCCACAAATCTACGCTAAAGCCACAGTTTCCTGGGACCTTTATTTTTTTATTAGTACATGTGTGTAGTACATGTTACATTCTCTGTGGGAGCTGGTTCATGTACATATCTTAATTCCTTTTAAATTCACTTTTGCACCTCTTTCCTTTCCTTAGCTTTTGAGACATGGCTAGGCTCAAATTCACAATCCTCCTGCTTCAGCCTCCCAGCATGCTGGGATTACAGGTTTGCACTAACATGTCTGGCTAGATCTGAGGTTTCATCAAGACTATCTTGTGTCTGCTGCTGTAAGGCTTTTGACTGCCCAGGGGACTGTGTTTTAGCAGTCAATGTTTAAGTGTCTACCTGTGGGAAGATCGCTTAAGTGACCGCTTTGTAACTGTGGTTAAAGCCGGCTTGAACTCTGGTTAAATAGCACTGCTTGAGGCGACTGTGCCTGACAGCCTGGGACAAGCGATGCACGTCCATCTGAGGCTTATACAGTACACCTGAGCTTTGTGTGAATATGCAAAGCCTGTGAGGTTAAAGGTCCATGAGCTACCGTGCACACAGCAACTAGCGCACGCTCCCTCACACGCTGTGCTCTGTGTCTGGACCTGGAACACACAAAATGGTCGGTAAAGCTTCCAGCATTTCCGCTGCTTGCATTTGGTATGGCTTGCAGAGAAGACCCTCCAGTCATTCATCCCTGCCATTAAAACCTGGCCTGCCTCCTTCTGCTTGGACCAAATGAGCACTTTTGTGATCATATACATGAAATATACTTTTACATTCAGTAATAAGTCTGTGGTCATGGGGCTGGGGATTTAGCTCAGCGGCATAAGCACCTGCCTTGCAAGCAGGCAGTCATGAGTTCGATTCCCGGTACTGATAAAAAGGAAAAAGACAAAAAAAAAAAAAAAAAAAAAAAAAAAGTCTGTGGTCATGAGCATTTTCCCTAAATTATTAAGTGGAGGTCTAGTACCATCCTTTGATTTTTGTCAGTGCTATGAACCTGCATAGACCGGTTAAAAAAATTCTAAATTTTACTCAAAAGTGGTTTTGGCACGTGTGCAAGCCCACAATTGTCTTAAAGACAAACAAAAAACATGGACATGTACATTCACACGTGTCTCTGTCTACCACAATAGGAAGTCTATTGTGACTCCTCTGTAACTGTGACCGTAATTGGTACAGATGTCTTTGTATGTTAAGTGCATTTATGTTCCCCCAAGCCTTCAAAATCGAGAACTGATGCCTCTCTCGCTGAAGCTGTTGGCAAAAAACCTTTCTCAGGGTGCCCTCAGTCACTGGCTACACTACAAGGGGCATCCAGATGTCGGAAGAGGGGTGACGAGGACAGCAAGAGGCATTTGCTGGTATAACGCTGTCTGCCACAGCTGTGACCCCACGGCGCTTCCAGAGAAGGCTGCACCACTGTTTTGCCACCTGCTGAACTCACTGCGACCAGACCCTGGCAGGAGCCTTCCACGCGCTGCACTCACAGCTGTCTCACGCTCCTCAGTTCTGCCTCGACTTTCCTCTTACCACTTGTTGTTGCAGGAACGAGCTTCTAGACGGCCTGAGTGGCAATTTGAGATGACGCCATCTACAGGCCATGGGCACACTCTGCCTTTCAGGGTGGCTCCCACGTCCCAGGAAAAGTGTCACAGTCAGGATCAGGACTCACCGCTCCCCTCAAGCCTGGGGGGACTGATCTTTTTGGTGTTCAGCAACCCAGGGTTGGAGAACGAAGCCAAGGAAGATAAATGGGCCAAGAGAGCAGCCATCTGTCCTTTCCCGGGCTTTCTCAAAGGCACCTACGACTCCAGAGAGTCAGGGAACCTACCCTGGGCGAGGAGCCCTGGACAAGGAGCCGGCCCGTGGGCCTCCTGCAAAGAGGAGGGCACCAGGGTGGGGGCAGAGTGGCTGCAGGGCTCAGGGGGCAGGCATGGTGAGGCCCCTGAGGGCTGAGGCCCCCAGCAGATGGCGTAACTGAAGAGGCAGGAAGTCCCACAGGCATCAAAGTGTCCTTCACAAAACCCACCGGACCTGAGGAGCCCAACTCACCTTAACAGTAAAAGGGAAAAGGTGACTGACAGATGGTCACTGCAGAATAAATGGTGACAGGAAAAAGCCACCAACAGAAAATCCCAACAGAGCAAGACTAGATCCACAACTGGCTGGAAACCCGGCCCCAGCGCTCCTAGAGCCACTCCAAAGTAGCAGCCCCCACGCACGGGTGTCCATAAGAAGGCTGATTCCAGGCTCCAGTGCTCTGGGCCACGGCAAGACTGAGGACTCTGAGGGCACGCAAGCCTGGCACCACCACTCCCACACTGCCGCGGACCAGGACCAGGAGTGGGACGGACCCACCTCCTGAGCTCCCCTGCCACGGAAGCCAAAGCAAGCTAGGTGCCCCGCAGCGCTCCAGGATGAGCGTCAGCCCCTGCCCAGTCCTAAAGCCCTGATCGTCTGCTCCTGTGTCCACCAGCACGGACTGGCTCTCACTGTGCCCAAGCAGGGGCCGGCCTGAGGGGAAGGCTTTGCCTTCCGCATCCCTGGACATCGGGGGCAGCGAGGAGATCAATGTCCTTCCCACTTCCATCTCTAGCACCTCAGACCCGTGAGGAACTTTGTTTCCTTACAGTGCTGTCCCTTGGAAGAAGAAACAGGGATCAGGACGCAGTGGCCTAAGTGAATACCCTGGAACACTGACGCAAGCCAAGAAGCCAGAAAGCTCCTCACGCAGCAAGGCCTTCTGTCCACCTTGGGGACGCAGGCCTGGAAGGCAGAGCCCAGCGCGTGGCTTGCGGCACACTCTAAATGGCACTGCTGTGAGAAGAAACGTACCTACTGCACCTGTGCTGGTCTCAGAGACAGGACGCAGCTTCATCTTGTTTTTGGTACCAGGAATTGAACTCAGGCTTGCCAGGTGCTTCATCTTGTTCTACTGTGCATTTGCATTGGTTCAGGTTTGTTTTGACACAGGGTCTCACTATGTTGTTCAGGTTGGCCTTAAACACAGAGCAGTCCTCCTGCCTCAGTCTCCTGGGATGACAGATGTGTGCCATCCTGGGTCAGCATTTGGGAACCAGGCTTTCTTTCTTTTCCGTTTTTGGGGGGTGGTATTTTTCTTTTTTATTGGTACCAGGAATCGAACTCACGACCACACACTTGCAAGGCAGGCGCTTATGCTGTTAGGTTAAATCTCCAGCCAATTCTTTCTTTTCCTAATCTTGTGTGGTATAAAGTCACACAAACCATTCTCACTTGGGCACTTAAGTCTTTCTTTGTATTTGTCTCTGTTGTAAAATGTATTTTACTGTCTGTCATCATTCTCTGGATATGCAAAGGTTAACCCATCTTTTGCTTTAACTGCAGCTGTAAGTATCTGCTTTGAAAAAGTTACTGTTTTGGTTTTCTTGAAACAGAATCTCACCATGTAGCCCAGGCTGGCCTCGAACTTGGAACACCCTTCTTGCCTCAGCTTCCAAAGTGCTGATATTACAAACGTGCACCACCATGCCAGGTTTTAACATTAACTTTTAAAGTTTTTTCTAAGACAGTTTGTTTCAAGGCAGTATTTTTTTGAGGCTGCCAAAGACAACAGGATTATGTTTTATACAGTGTATGCTTTTTCCTTTGTGTAGAATTTTTAAATTACTGTTTTTGGTTTGTATGTTATATGATCATCATTGTTTACTTTATGAATTGACCTCAATGCTTAATGATTTTCAAAAAGATGTTACAACTTACTCAGGAAAATAATGTTACCGTAAATTTTTACTCCTTATTTGACTATTATAGCCATAGCAATTTGTTAAATTGTTGTATTTATTTTTTGTTTTTGTTTTTTTGGTACCAGGATCAAACTCACAACCATGTGCTTGCAAGGCTCCAGGAGCTTTTGCTGCTGAACTAAATCCCCGCCCTAAATTGTTATATTTAAAACGTGAAAATAAGTAAGTTTAATGCTTAACCAATGTTAAATAAGAAATTAAACACAATTGATACAGTAGATGATACAGACTGCAGGGTGACTCAGTCACCTTAATGATTTGGATAAAAAAGGAACAAATGGCAAGGTTAGAATGAATTCTCAGGTGTAATGTGTTTCAGTTATGAGACATCTATTTTGAATTTGTAAATATTTTAAATGTTTCATTAAGGCACGTAATGAATTATTCTCTGAAGCATGTTGGGTAAAATAAAAATTTAAAGCTATGATGCTAAAGATCACACACTGATTGCAAAACCAACAGAAATAACATTACTGATCTTTTGTATCTTTCATAATATACTTTTAAAATAATTTTGTAAATGCAATAAAACCACTCCATTTGGACATCCTACCCTGTTCCATAAAGTGACACAAAGCTGCCCCGTCCTTCTGACCTGTTCCCACCTCCTCAGGCTCTTATCACCACCTTACTAACTGTATTTGGCCCTTGTGTTTATCTAAGTCTGTCTCTCCTAGGTGACAGCAATTCCATGGTCACCCATGACTCCATCTTATACCCACAATCTTATACCATCAATACCTGCAAGAAGCCAAAGGCCCCACCAGACCTCTAGAGCAAAAACCTGGTGAGTTCTGTTCCTCTGGTCAGCCGGGAGGCAGCCCCGAAAGACAGAGCACCAGTTTCGCAGCTCCCCTACAATTAGAGTAGATGGAGCTCCCTGGGGGGCAGCAGAAGGCTGGGAGCAAATCAAACGGTAAAGTAGGTTAAATCATTTGCTTAAAGCGGCTCTGAATGGTGGTGGCCGGCAGGCCAGGTGGGGGCCTGAGGCAGGGAGCTACAGGCCTGTTTCACAAGCAGCTAACCAACAGGCTGCCGCCTTCGGAGGAAGACACAGGGAAACCAGGAGGGGACCCACAAACACGAGGTGTTCAGGTGACTCTGTCCATGGGCTCGCCATCTTTGTCCATGTCTGTTTCTTTCCTATAATAAAATCTTATTTTAGCATGTTTACTTTCCCTCTGCGTGTGGCTAAGGCCCCCCCTAGCTGCACACCCGCACCCTCGCCTGCTAATACCATCCCTGCCAGCCCTGCCTGCGGGTCAGAGTGCCTGCTTCTGCTCGCAGACGGGCATCGGCGTGTGGGTGGTGCTGTGGTCTACCCTGCTCATCGCTGAGTGGGTGACAGGTTAGACTGCTCTGCCGCTGCGGACCCAGGGCTGAGGACGTGGCAGAGGAGTCCGCCGAGGGAAAGGGAGAACGGCCACACCCTAGTCCAAGCCCTCGGCTCTCACCTGGACAGTTACTAGGGCCTCCTCACTGGTCCTGCTACCTTCATTCTCTCTTCCTTCATTCCATTCCACCTTCCACAAGTGCTGACAAGAGCTCTAAAAAAACACATGTGAGCCTGTCACTCCCCTGATTACAGCCCAGAGGTCCCCCCAGCCTCCAGTGTGAGAAGGGCCCACGTGTGCAGTGCAGTGCCAACTCCCTGCCCCTCCGGGCTGCACACCCGGGCCCTGACCATGCGGTGTCCTGATGTTCTGTCCAACACCAGGCAGGGCCTCACTGCATAACCTGGGCTGCCTCAGTCTCCAGATCCTACTGCTCCGGCCTCCCACAGAGACCTACGTGCCACCGCATCCTGGGATGTTTCCTCCAGCTTTAAAGGGCTTCTTCACCTTCTCTACTACTGCAGAAACCCTGCGAGACCCAGGTCGGACATCATCTCTGAACTTCCCTGATTGAACCAACTTTGGTTTGGTTTGGTACCAGGGGTTGAACACCCATGGCCTTCTCAATGAGCTGCGCCCTGGCCCTTTTTATTTTTCATGCTGAAACAGGGTTTTGCTGAGTTGCTGACTTGCCTAGGCTGGGCTTGAACTTGTGATCGCCCTGCCACAGCCTCCCAGAGCACTGGGGTGCAGGTGGCTTCCCATGTAGCTTCTGATGCATACCCAGACACTGCTCCACTTACAGGCTGTGTGTGTGGATGGGTGCTCCATTACCCCTGGCTCTCACAATGCACGGCTCACGGGAAGGCACAGGCCAGCTATGATTAGTCAGAGTTTGGAAATTAATTTTCCAACCCTACTGTATCATCAACTCGCTCACTGAGCTGGACAATGCACTCACCGCTTTGACAACTTCCCCCCTCCCCGGGACACTTAAAATCTCAACCAGTGCAAAGCATGGCACAAAGGCTGCTTCAGATGCTGCGCCTGGCCCTCTGGGAACAAGGCCCTGGCAGCCTGGCTCTCAGACATTCTGACCCAACTCTGATGAAAATGAATCCGCACAGCCAAAGATGTCCTTCCTGTGAAGGGCAATCGATTTCAGCCTCACACTGTAAATACCACTTGGTACGGTGCCGTAAAGAGCGCTACCGGTCTGAAGAGCCGTCTTTCGGGGAAAGAGTGACAGGGGTTCATGATGACTCACGCTTTAGTCAGGAAGCGAAGGCCTGTGCACCAGCTGCAGCTGCACCAGGGCAGGCTGGGACTGGCTGTTGCGACCAGTGCTCTCGGGGACCGCAGGCCTGTCGGCTCTGACTCCCCAACCTCCCCCAGCCACGACACACAAACCTTTCTTGTTCTCTAAGTGGCACTCTGTGCCATCCTCAGCCAGAACTGCCCCACGACCGTGTTTACCCACAGCCTGCACTGGTTCCAGTCCCTTCCCCTGATCACTGTCCTCTACCTCAACACAAACCAAAGCCACGATGACTGCACCACTCACCACGTGCTGGCCGTGCAGAGAAGGCTGGCTCGGTGCCTCCTCATCAGCAAAAAAATAAAAAATGCACCATCCAGCTACTCGCCTAACACTCCCTCAGATATTAATAAACACTGGATAAACAGAGTATTTTCTGTGTAGGCTCATTGGGGAAATGGGATTAAAGACTTTTCTTCTATAGTCTGTCAATCCAGGAGGCAAATTCTGCTTCTACTCAACTCAGATAAGATCAGAAAAGAGATGGTTCAAAAGATTTCACCCAATCTACCGACAGGATCAGGTCGGAGCCCAATGGGCGGACGGACGGACATGAGCGGACAGCGGATTTCTGTGACTGCAACAGAACCCTAACTTTAGCTGCAGTTTGTCATGTTTGGGGAATATTCTTCCCCAAACAAACAAAGTATTTCTTAAGAAGCAGAATCTATAACATGTAGTATGTTTCTGTTCTGGTCAGTGATGTTAAAACCATGCCGAAATGCAAAAGCACTTGTCCTTTCTGCAAAAGGGGTCCCATGTAACCTGACGCTTGGCCCTGAGGGCTGAGGAACAAGGAGGAGTAGATCCCCAGGCTGCCCCAGCAAGGCCACTTCACCCCTGCCTTCTGCTGGGTGAGCCACGATGCATCAGAGGGAAAAGAGCACCACATGTCTAGCACCAACACCTGCAACAGAGAAGGCGCCACAGGCTGGAACGGGCTCCACTGGACAAGTGACCTGAGCCACGCCCCACAGTTCCGCCCCCTTCCCCGAGCAGCGGCTTGGAATGAAAGGGCAGCTGCTGGGCCTGTGCACACCACGGCGCTGCAAAGACTACACTGTGTGGGTCACGTGTGAGTGCCAGGACTTGTAAGTGTCAGTGGTGAGTGGTCTACATCAAACATTTTCAAGAGCAGCAGAATCACCCCTTAGCCAAATGCCCATGGACATACAGATAAAGCTTAAACTGCACTCTGAGCAACCTGAAGAAAGGTCACTAGGTTCTCCGGCTTGCGTGGGTTTTCTGGTGATCTGAACCAAGTTTTGAATTCTGTATTTTCCTCTTTAAATGATGCGTACCAAATGACTGTGTTGTGCCTATCTCCGTGAGAGAAGATTTAAGGCACCTGCAGTGAATACCTAAGCATGCTCCACAAAATGCACAAAACCATTATCCCACGAAGAATAGGAAAAGGTCAACAAATTAATTCCCCACATTTAAGCCTGGATAATACAAGGGAGGACAGCTGAGAAACTTTTTAAAATGGGCTTGGCCTAAAGTGTAAAGAAAGGCCCGCTCCCCTTGGTAAGACCATACAAACTCTTAAAGGGATTCTTAATAGCTAAGACAGGGTACTACTTACTTCCTCATTAAATAGTTTGCTAGTTTCTTTTTTGATTGGGTCTATAAGCTGGACTTGGCCTGCAGAAAAGCCCACTAGGAGAGAGACACTCTCCGCTGTGGCTGTTAGGTGGTTGAAGTCATGACAAGTAGGCTGTGTTCCTTTGTATATCCTTTTATCTATTGGTTTACTCAAGTCAGCAGCCTAGAGGAGAAAGAGAAAAATACACACAGTGAACAGCACGTTGAGGCGAGAAATCTACGTCACTCTATTTTATACTCCATTCGATGTTCAATCTTAAAACAAAGTTACTTAAAATACTGTTTCAGTTCTTATTTAATTCATCTAACATTTTATAAAAGTATTTTCACATATCTTAGCCAAAGAGATATTGTTAGACTATCTGTAATATATTGATTCATAACTTATTTCCAGAACTTATTTTCTTTCAAACATAACAAGAACATCTAGACTTAAGAAAAAGTCTTTGAGATTCTAATTCAGCATTTTTCAAATGCATTCCAGGAAATTTTGCAGTTGTAATTGTTTCTGAGATAGGGTCTTGCCTTGTAGTCCAGGTTAGCCTTGGACTCACTGTGTAGGTCAGGCCGGTCTCCACCTTGTGATCTTCCTGACTCAGCCTCTCACGTGCTAGAACTAAAAGCAGGCCCAGCCACGCCTGGTTCCCAGTTTTTAACACAGTAACTGTAACCACAGAAAAGCTCAGCTTTCAGCTCTGAGTGGTGGTGCATGCTTGTAATTCCAGCACTCTTCGAGGGTGAGGCAGGAGGATCACCAAGCTGAGTCCAACCTGGGTAACTCAGATTGTGTCAAAATGGTAAAACAAAGTGGGTGGGCTAGGAATGTAGCTTAGTGAGCAGGTCCTGCATCCAACCCTGCACACACACTAGCACAGGAAGAAGGCAAGCTCAGCTGTCACACATAGCTGCAGCACCTGACCACCGACGGGTGGGTGGCTCAGCAAAAGTACAAGAAGCGTGGATCCCAGACCAGCAGCAGCATAGCCTGGAAACTCAGAAATGGACATACTCAAGCCTGCCCCAGTTCCACTCTGGAAAACTCTAGGGCAGGCCCAGGGCCTGAATGGAACCCCGCTTTCAGCCAGGCCAACGCCCACTCAGCCTAAGCTGCTGCAGGTCCTGGGCCCACTCTCCCGCATCTGCTCCCGGGGAGCTGCATCGCATCCCCTTGCTCCACAGTGGGAGTGAGGAGGGCAGTGGACATGCCCGCAAAACTGCTGGACCCAGGGCTGGTGACGTTCACCGATGAGGAAAACACACAGCCAGTGCATCCCAAAGTCTGAAGCATGTGGTTTCTGACTCAGGTCCCCAACACCTCCCCAGCACCCCTCTATGTCCTTCCCAAGCCTCGCTCTTCCTGAGCAACGACCTGTCCACTTCCGTGTGCTTGCAGCCCACCCTGCCTGCTGGTTTCTGAAAACTACCAGGACCCTGTCCTTAAAAGGTACCCTTCCTGGGTGCCATCACTGCTCCAGACTCCCCCAGAGGCTCAGAAGATCCCTGCCTGCCCAAGAGACTTGCCCAAGATGACAAGGACATTCTCATGCTTGAACACTTGACTGTCAAGTATCAAGCATAATGACTGAGGAGAAAAGAGGGCCTCAAAGTTCAGGTAACCAGAAAAACGCAGAACCCGAGCCTCTGGAAGGCCGAGCCTCTGGAAGTCTGGAGCCGAGAGGTTCTGGGGCAAAGGAAGCCGGAAGCTGCACGGACACCGTAGGGAAAGTGGGAGGCTCCTCTACCAACCTGCGGAGCATGGGATCTGAGGAAAGACACACCGAAGAGCTTCAGAAATGTTCCCTGGGCATAAAGCCGCAGGAGTCCAGACTGCAGCAAAGAGCAAAAGCGTGGCTGGGAGGGGAGTGTGGCCCAGGCAGAGGGGTACAGCAATGGAGCCTGGAGGCCAAGCTCCCAGGGGTGGGGGAGCTTGATACAGAGAGGATTCCAGAGGAGGAACAGCATGCACACTGCACTTCAACAAAGGAGACAGGTGAAGACAGCCCTAGCCAGGCTTAGTGACACACGCCTATGACTGCAGCATCTGGGGGGCTGACGCAGGAGCATCGCTGTGAGTTCAAGGCCAACCTGGGCTACATAAACAAGTTCAAGGGCAGCCTGTACTGCACAATGAGACTGTTTAAAAAAAAATAAAATAAAAAATTGCCCAAAATATAAAACAAGATGCAACTGGCAGCTAGTAAACAAAACTCTCAGAAATATTAACAAGGAAAGTATTACATAATCACCATAACAACATATGCGACTGGAAACTTTTTTTTAGTGTTCTAGAGAATTTTTTTCCTAAAAAGATACAACTATACAACTGAAGTTACACACTGAAATACGAAAATCAATTCAAAGACTAGAAGAACATTAACAAAGAAAACATTCTAATATAAATTAACAAAAAAATATGCACAGGAGGCAAAGCAACTATTTTTCCACATACGCTCCCAGTTCAAACTCGCAGAGCCCTTCTGACAACTGCATTACCCTCGGCTCCCCCATCTCACAGCTCCGGCCCCCCGGGATCCTCAGGACCCGCAGCCGCCAGGGTCTTGGGGCGGCTGACAGGGCGATTCTGTAGCTGTGGACTGTAATGCTACAAAAACAGCGCTTGTACTCTGCATGTCTTTCCCACTTCTTTTTCTGATAATCCATTTTTTATTTTATAAAATCCAGAGAGAGTAACAATTTCTAAAGTTGCTCCTTCAGCACTATTGTAAGGAACACTGTCCTCAAAGATAGAAAAGTACTCCTGGGCCCAAGAATCACTCAGATCTCCCTTGCCTCAGTGCCTCCCTCCCGCCCAAGCTCTCCCCAGTGGCATCCCAGGCAACAGGTCACCTGCCCAAGTGCAAAGGGCCATGAAGCCTGAAACCCATTACAAAGTCTGCTGGGTGTGGCGGCACACACCTGTAATCCTAGCATTTGGGAGGCTGAGGCAGGAGGGTTAGAGTTAGGGTTCAAAGACCAACTGGGCTACATAGTGAGTTCAAGACCAGCCTGGACTTCATAGCAAGACTCTGTGTCAACAAAACAAAATTGCATTTATGAAAAAGTGCATGGGCCCCACAACAGCTGTCTGAGTTTTCTGCAGCCCGGCCTAGCAGGAGGAGAGTCAGGCTGCCTGCGCCACCTTCACCTCTGACACCTCCACTACCTCATGGTCTTTTTTTGTTTTTGGTAGCAGCTCTTGCTCCCTGCTGTGATTATCCTGCTTCCGCCTCTTTTGCCTTCACCCATGCAGTGTACCATACAGCCTGGGTAGCAGCAGACACTCCCTGGGCGGGCCACGCCGCTTCCCAGAGAGGCGCCAGCCTGAGGGGGCTTCCCTGGAGGAGAAAAGGCTCAGATGTCGGTGGCAACAGGCTTAGGTTCAAACCCACCCTACCATGGGCCCCAACAGCCAGGGCACTGGTGACAATCACAGGCAAGGGACAGAAAGCACAGAGCACACAAGAGTAGGCGCGGGGAGCTGCCAGCATTCACTCCCTCAGCCTGGCCTCCTTTGTTCTAAGGTCCTGGGCTCCTGGAGGACAAAGGGCCCTGCTGGCCCTCACAGCAATGCCACCTTCTATGCACTGAGCCTTTCCATACCCCAGGCTCTCCTTGAGGCTCTATGCCTGCCATCCCAATACTCTGCCCACCTAGGAAGGGGTGCAGGGCCAGGATCCCGCTCCCCCACGCGGCACACACCAACCCCGGCTCCGTCCCACAGGTGGGCATCCCTGGGCTACACTCTGCAGCCCTCCTTATGGCTCACACCCAGCCTTCAGTGAGTATCTGGGGCCACTCAAGCTGGTTCAGCTCTCTGGACTTCCCGTGCTCCCCAAGGTACTTAGTGCCTACGTGACTCCAAATGTTCTATGTTTTCTGTCAGACAGAACTGTAATAAAGTTCCTTTCAGGCAAACTTCATCAGTTAACGACTGTATTGTTCTACAAAATTAGCTTTAGTGAGTTCTGTGTACTTTCAGATTTTTTTACAAAATGCTCACATCCTTATTTTCAATTATCTGAGCTAGTGAACATGAACTTGTAGCAGGACCAACCTGTTAAAAATTCTTACCAACTGTAAGAACTAGGTCGTGCTTGTACCCAGCCCCAGCAGAGTGTATCCTGGTGGCTACAGACGGCCAGCATTTGTTAAATGAATGACATCACAATTATCCTAAGTTTTTAAAATTACATAATTATGTTCTTGAATTTTACATAGCTACAGACTACAAATAATTTGTGAGTTGCTCCTGTTTGGCTTTCAATCTAGTTGGAAAATTTTAAATGATGGTTTAAAAATTCCTATTAGAGCTAGGTACATAGCTCAATGGCACAACTGCCTGCCTGGCAAACATGAGGACCTGAGTTCGATTCTTGGTTTCCAAAAAAGTTAAAAAAATTAAAATTCCTACTTGAGAAACAGAACTGATTGCAAAAAGCCTCAGTTAGGAAGTGAATGCTCTGAATGCCACACTGCTCTCCTTGGGTGGGCAATCCTTCTGGGATTCTTTTCACAATGATGAACGCTGCTGAAACGCCCAGCTTGTGGGGACTGGGAGTTTCTCTCTGCAGCCCTCCTTGCCAGGTGCCACCCATACCCACACTCTGGCCCAGGCTCTAGCCTTGGCATTTCCCAGGGAGCTGCCCAGCCTAGCATGTCGGAGCCCCGGGGTTTCCTCAGCAGGGTCTCAGAAAGCCATGGCTCCATGGGCATGGCATGCTTTGCTGCTCCTTGGAGTTCAGACGCATTTGATGGGGCATGAAAAATATGTCCAACCTTTTCTGAGGAACGAGAGGCAAAACGGTATGGTGAGGAGGCTGAGGCAGGAGGAGCGCAGTCACTAGAGACCCATCTGTGCTACACAGTGAGTTCGAGGCCAGCCTGAATGAACTGTCTAAAGAAACTATACACATATGTAAATACCACATGCCATATGATTTTATGCAGCCTGGAAATGTGGTAATATTTGGTGGGTATGCCCTATCCGGCCACCGCACAGGGAACCTCTTTTTGCCAGAAAGAAGTAAAACATCCAGAAGATAACCCTGACAACAATCCAATGCCGACACACACAGGACGCCCGTGTCCACTGCATCTTGGTCACTGTTTCCCCAGGAGCTTGCCTCCCATTTGACGCCCCTCCCCAGCTGTACCCCTGAAGTG